ACACACACCAAACACACACACTACATCCCCACACACAACACACACATACACACATACCAAATACACATAAACATGTACACACATATCCCCCACTCCCACAACATATACACACACACACACACACACACCACACACACACTACACATACCAAACACACACACATACATACCACACAAACCACACACACCTCACACATACCACACACACACACACATACACACACACGTCCTCAGTAAAGGCAAGGCAAGTCATCCTAGATGCCATGATTCTGTTCTGTTTGTCTACCTGATTGTCAGGTTTGGCACTATGCATCTTTTAAGGAACTCTGTGTGGAGACAGCTGGCTGTTTTGTGGATGGAAAATATTGAAGGTTATTTTGGGGAAATCATTAGATGAGTGTTTTGTGGGAGACTGATTGAAATTCTGTTGAGGAACTGCAGTTTATAATCCACAGAATTGTGCTGATACAAATAAGAGGATAATTTGGTCTATAAACATGGGCATTAGTCCAGTCAGCAAGCTTGTGTAACTCACTCAACATAGCAGTGACCTTGAGAAACTCCTCAAATGTGTCATTGTTCTTAAAGCTGAGGTAAGGATGACAAAAAGGAAAGTCAAAAGGAAAGAAAACAAAACCAAAACCAAAAAACATCCCTATTTTCCCTTACAATGTTTCAACCATTTTTCTTCTTAAGAAGCTCCCTCTGGGAACTTACATCACCTCTCTAGGATGTAGAGTGGTACTCAAGGATAAGTGAATTATTTTCTATTTACGGGATGTACTTCAGTTCTTTCATTGTTGGTCTCAGTTAATTTAATTAAGATTTTAAATTAATTTTCACAGGATTAAATTAATCTTCTGAGAATTATTCCCTTTTAATTTTTAGTTTTAAATCTAAGGACTAGTCAGGACAAAGTGACCCATTGAGTATGGTCCCGAGATGTGTTAGAATGAGTGCTAATATCACCTGTACTTTTTTACTTTCAGCTTCAGCTGCCCAGCTTTCTGCCAGGCATCCTCCTTGAGACAGTGGTTCTATGACTGGAAGTTAATCTGATCTCCTTGATTTGGGGCACCCTTTGTTGTCTGTGATTCCTTTCCTCGCTTACTTCCTACACGTAGCATCAGCAAGCTACACCGATTCCATTATCAGTGATAACCTAAGTCTGGCCACTTGTCACTATCTACTCCTCCAGCATCATATTTCACCTGGGCTAATGGTCCAAAGTGCCATCATCTTTTGCCTTGCACCATCATTATTGCAATAGCTGTCTAACTGGTCTGTTGGGTCCCCTGCTTCCTTCCCATTCTCCACCTCATACCCAGTCATCTTTCAAAAATCATACACCAAGTGACACTGAGACCATAGTCAAAGGATAAATGCATGGGGCTCACTAAGTGACAGTCACAATGGAAACCATCTATGTTAAGACTTCGTAAGCCTCACTCCAAGTGACTGAGATAAGAAGTCTTTCAGAACCTGGATTTTGCGACATTTTCACATACACAATGAAATGTCTTGCGGTGGGACCCAAGTTAACAGAGATTCCTTTATGTGTTGTGTGCAGAAGCTAGTATGGTCAGTCTTTACAGGGCATCTGACTCTTGAAAGAGAACCCTGACAGGAGGGCTGATGGGCCTTTTCACCTGTGGTGGTTGGATTGGGTTTCAAGGAATGTTGAGCTTTGGAGTATTTCAGAGTTAGGGTTTTGTGGGCTAGGCATATTCAACCAGTATCAACTTATTTAATCCTCAGAAGAATGGGGATGGGAGATGTCATTGCTATCCCTATTTTATATTTTTGGTTGTAAGACTAGCCTTTGATGACTGAGCCATCTCTTCAGCCCGCTATCCCTACTTTAAATACAAGAGAGAAGCAGAGCTGGTACCTGAGTCTGTCTGTGTTGACAAGGCATGGAAGAGTGCGGAATTAGAACAATCTGAGTCCATTTCCTTAGATGACTAGTGAACTCTGCCTGGGTGCCCTGCTGTCATCCTGACCCTTGCAGTACGTAAAGTCCCTCACTTTTTTTTTTTTTGGCTGGGTCTCTCCTCAAACGATGCCCTGCCAGCCCTTCTGGTCTAACGGCATGCCTCCCTACCCTGCCACCTGCTAACCCTCCTCTGTCCATCTCCTCCATGGGATACAAGCTCCATGAGAAGACACTTCTTTGAACCTCTCAGCAAAGTGCAGAGTGTGATTATTTGTTGCACACACATGAGTCTTGCTTGACTCTTGTAATTAGAAACAAAATAACTGATTTTAAAAAAATGTAATGAATTATCCCTGTAGCTGCAGAGTTGAATTTATGTTCAGAGGAAACTGGTGTTTCTTGTCACATAAATCCTGGATAATTTACAACTGTGAGTATCTTTATGACTAGTAATATACTCACAATCTCTTTCCCTATAAATCTTTAATATTTTACTGCACAATTTGATGAGTTTTGGCAACTCCACGTGTGAAGGATAATCTTGTTTGTCAACTTAATACCCCTTGGAAGAGGAACCTCAGCTGGGGGACTGCCTCCATCAGATTGGCCTGTGGGCACATCTGTGTGGCATTTCTTCTTTGGTGCATGGCAGACAGACCATCTCTGGGCAGGAAGGCCTGAGCTCTATCAAAAATCTAGCTGAGCAAGCCGGAAACTTCCTCTGGGGTCTCTGCTTCAGTTTCTGCCTGCAGGCTCTTGCTTTGTTTTCCCTCAGTAATGGGCCTGAGAATCAAATAAACCTACTGCAGCTGAGAAGGCAACCAGGACACTGTTCATCTGGGCGATAGACCCCTCTACAGAGATACAGAACCTTCCCATTGTTATATAAAACTTCCTGTGACTCCTCACTGGTCCTCACCTTCCACGGGCAACCATGGTTCTGCTTCCTGTCCCTAGACGATAATCTGGAGGTTTACAAAGGAATCACACAACAGTATAAGTGTCCTCTGTGTCCTGACTCTTTTGTTCTAGGTAGCATCTTTTAGATCAGTCTCGATTGCTGCATAAAAGGGTGGTTCATTTTCTTCTTTGGTGTTTTTTGTTTGTCTCCCAGATTAAACCTAGGGCCTTTTATGAGCTAGTAAGCACTCTACCCTTGAGATATCCTCAGTGTGCCTGCCTGCCCTGGCTCCCTGGCTCCCTCCCCCCCCCCCCCACACACACCCCTTATGCCCCCCTCCCGTCCCTCCCTCCATCCCTCCTTTCCTCCCCCTCTCTAGCCCTTTGTAAACGTTTGGAGTCAGGCCTCACCCTACAGCCCAGGCAGGCCTGGACAGTGTGCTGCTTCTCCTGAGTAACTCTCCCACCCCTGTTCTGTCGATGGGTGCCTATTAGATTCAGGACACCAGTGTTCAAAGGTCACCATCAGGACCAAGATAGGAACATGCCATCTCAACTCCTGAAGTTGGATTCCGGCCTACTCACTCTTTTCTGTTTACCTCTCAAATCTTCATGAGGTTTCCTGTCAACAGCAGAGGGAGGGAAAGTTTGATAGTGAGCAAGATAGAGAAGAGTAAACACCAGCCAGCATTGGTGAGGAGGGGCTGTCTTAGTGTTCTCCAGTCATACAAGTGGAAGTCACTGTTGCTTTGGTCAAAGGTTTAGTTTTTTGGTTTCTTCTTAGCTTATAGGCTGCTGCTTCAGATCATGAGATATTGTGCTCAATGAATGAGGCATATTGTTAACAAAAGTCAAAACGAGAGACAAACAAATTCACTTCATTGAATGGTTCCCTGAACTTGGAAGTTGGGTGATAAGACCATTCTTGGGTGGCTGGGCTGAGACAAACCAGAAGGATATTGGAGGAGAATGAAGAGGATATTTGGAGTAGTGAGAAGTTCCTCTGGCTCATGCAGGGACAGAAAAATTGGACGAGTCGTTCTGGAAACTAGACAGAGTGGAACAACAAATGGAAGGAGAGTTTCCCAAATGTGTGTCTGGGGAATAAAAGGCTGACAAATAGCCCTTGTATTTGTAGGAGGATAGGAAGAATTAATCCAGGAGGTCAAAAGTAAACAGGGAATAAAACCCAGATTAGCTCCAGTGTTTGTTAAGTGAAAAAGAAACACACGCACTGTTGGGAGTCAGGGTTTTCTGGAAAGTTGGCTGTGAAAAGGGACCCCTGGCCAAGGCCCACCAGCCCATGTCCTCACAGCTGCGCTCAGTTGTCTGTCTCCTGCTCCTGGCCCATGTCCTCACAGCTGTGCTCAGTTGTCTCCTGCTCCTGGCTTGTCTCTTGCACTTCCGGGAGCCAGCATTGTCTCAGCGGAGGGTGGGCCAAGGCACCAAGGTTCATCTTTCAGTTTATGGTGCTGATTCCCAGGGAAAAGCACGTGTTAGGATTCTGGTGATGAGACACAAATGAGAAGCAGTCGATTGACTCAAACAACCGGAGTCCATTTGAAAACACCCAGTCTCTTAGAGTAGAACATATAATCCTACTTAGAAGTTCCTGGTATGACCACGGATGGGAGATTGGTTCTTTTTATCAAACCCATTAATTAAAAAGGGACATAATCCAAAGACAATTTACCAGTAAGCTATTATAACGCATTCTTATTTTATTTATTTTTCCAGTGTGAATCATAATTACACACTCAATACAACACATTTCCGTTTTTCCATTGGCTGCTAATACACACCAGAAACCTGTCTGATCATGGTGGCAGTTCTCTGCAGGGTGGTCTTCTCTGACATAACGTGTTGGCTGTAGCTGATTGCTGTACTGTGGACGAGTCACTGTGTTATACCCCATAGAAGTCAGAAATCATCAGTGGGGCTGAGGAATCCATTAAGGATTGCATGTCTCAGCTAGGCATTGGTGGCAGAGGCAGGCGGATCTCTATGAGTTTGAGGTCAGCCTGGTATACAGAGCGAGTTCTAAGACAGCCTCCAAAGCAATACAGAGAAATACTGTCTCAAAAAAAAAAACCAAAAAAAAAAAAAAAAGGATTGCATGTCTCCTCACAATCAGGGAGAAATTCACCATGTTTTTCTCTCCATAGGCTCATGCCAAAATCTGGCATCTCTACAATACCTCCTTCCGCCCTACTCAGGGAGGCCAGGTGTCTATTGCCTTAAGTTCTCACTGGATCAGCCCTCGAAGAATGACCGACCTTAACATCAGAGAATGCCAGAAGTCTCTGGACTTTGTGCTAGGCTGGTTTGCCAAACCCATATTTATTGATGGGGACTACCCAGAGAGCATGAAGAGCAACCTCTCCTCCCTTCTGCCTGATTTTACCGAATCTGAGAAGAAGTTCATCAGGGGAACCGCTGACTTTTTTGCTCTTTCATTTGGACCAACGTTGAGTTTTCAACTATTGGACCCTCACATGAAGTTCCGTCAACTAGAATCCCCCAGCCTCAGGCAGCTCCTGTCTTGGATAGATCTGGAATATAACCACCCTCAAATATTTATTGTGGAAAACGGTTGGTTTGTCTCAGGGACCACAAAAAGAGATGATGCCAAATACATGTATTACCTCAAGAAGTTCATAATGGAAACTTTAAAAGGTAGGCTTTTAAGTAAAATTCCCATTTCCTGCCAAAATTCAGGACCACCCCCCTACATCACACACACCACACATCACACACCACACACACACACACACACACACCACATATATACCACACATCATACACACACACATTGTTCATTATATACACACCACAACACCACACATATACACACACTACATATCATACATGTACACATCATGCATACAATACCACACACACATATATCATACACATAACACACACATATACATACCACACATCACAGACACATACACAACACATACATATACACTATACACACATACCACATATTATAACACACACTACACACACACACACACTACACATATAAGACTATTGGGGAAATGTAGATACATATTTTGTCATGATGTAGATAATTTGGGTAGTAGCAAAAATATATTTATGTAACACCTCTCTCATTTGAGCCATTCAGAAACTTAGTTTTCAAAGTTCCATAAAAGGAACTTAGATAATTTGTTGATAAAACAACAAGACAGGATTAATATTTGAAATTAGTTGACTCACAGTTTCTCATTTACATTGTTAGATTATAAAATGTAATACTGCAAATCTCAGGCTATCTAGCTTCATGTCCATATTTCTAGTTCATTTGTTTTAGCTTAATAAAATGCTTTTTCTTTAATTTTTTATTCTTTGAAATTTTCATATGTTTATACAATATATATTTGTCATTTATAACCACTGCTCTCTCCCTCCTTCCACAATAAAATGTTTTTTAAAGCAAGAGGAATGTCCATGTGATCTGGATAAATTAGTAAGTTGAAGGGTAGAGACGGGGAAAGTGAGCCAGGTATAGAGTACGTGTCTGGCACCCCAGGACCCTTGGTTCCATCCATAGCCCACAAATCAAAAGAAGACACAAGTCACAATGCTTGGTGCCCAGCTTAGAGAGGAATGAGAAACTGCTACTGTGGAGGTATGACTGTCTATGAAGACACTGTTTGGCAGAGTTACCTAGATTTGATGAGAGCCTTTTGTGAGCAGGAGAACATTGTTTACTTACACAAGAAGCATTATATCTGACTTGTTTCTTTTACTGTTTTGAGATTTCATTTATTTTTATTTTATGTGTGTGAAAGCTTGCTTGCATGTGTGTATGTGCACATGCATTTGGTGCCCACAGAAGAGGGCATCAGATCCCCTGGGACTGGAGTTACAGATGTGAGCCACCATTCGGATGCTGGGAAACAAAGCTGGCTCTTCTATATAAGAGGCCAGTGCTCCTAAACCGCTGAGCCATCTCCCCAACCCCTTGCCTTGTTTCCTTAAGAGTAAAAACCCCTCAGATGCTCTTGAGTCACCTAGTGGAGGATGACACGGCTCTTATCCTTTCTTCCTCTGCAGCCATCAGGCTGGATGGGGTCCACGTCATTGGGTACACCGCGTGGTCCCTCATGGATGGTTTCGAGTGGCACAGGGGCTACAGCATCCGACGTGGACTCTTCTATGTCGACTTTCTGAGTCAAGACAAGATGCTGTTGCCGAAGTCTTCAGCCTTGTTCTACCAAAAGCTGATAGAGAACAATGGTTTCCCTCCTTTGCCTGAAAACCAACCCCTAGAAGGGACATTTCCCTGTGGCTTTGCTTGGGGAGTTGCTGATAACCACATCCAAGTAAGTCAGCTGACAAAACCCATCAGCAGTACAAGTAAGTCTCTTGCCAGTAGGTAGCGCATCCTCACCAGGCTCTTGTCTGGGATGGCTCCCACGGGGTTCCTTGTTAGGGTCTTGCTTTCTAGCTTGGTGCTGTTGACAGCTCGTTGAAGACTGAGGTGCTGGGACTACTAGGAGAGGTCTTTAGGTCACAGAGGACATGTCTGTGGGACCTCTTCCTTCCCCCCCTCACTGTCATGTGCCAGCTCCCAGGCTCCCACACCATAAGGGCCACTGATTATGGACAAGAATGTCCAATGCCATGAGCCCTAGTCAGCCTTGTCTACTTAGCTCAATTCTTTCAAACTTACTAGAATTGATGGTATGCTGGCTAACACCACAGGGATGTATGAGACACATATGGGACATGTATGTAGACAGCCATGGCAGTACTATCCTTCTCACACTCCTCATCCGTCTCCCTCTCTCTCCCTCGTTACAAGGCCAACTGGAATGTCCTACCCTACTTTGTCAGAATCTACAGGGGGAACTCAGGTGGGTTCTAAGGTGGTAGAAATGGGGATGTTAAAGAAGGAGGAGGAGGCAGAGCAGAAGAAGCTAGATACCTCCTACAACCCCTGCCTCTTTACCTGGGTTGGAGTCAGAAGTCGATTAGATGGTTCCGGGTCCTGGTTTGATCTCTCTACCTCATGAGAGGTCCCTGCTGGCCCTGCCCCTGTACTGGAAGTGCATACACACCATCTCTCATAGTAGCTAGAGTCTGGAAAGTGACAAGTTCAGTCATTTGCATTCAGAGAATACTCTGCAGAGAGGCAGGGCTATAGGGGAAGCCACCCTCCTCATACCCTGTTTCCTGGGGAAGGGTTATGTCTTGACTTCGGGACCTAGGAAATAGTGAGTGGGTGCTAGGCATATGTTCAGTGTTCTTGAAAAAGACTGGCAACCCCAATCAGAACCAAAAATAAGGAGATAATTCCTTTTTTTTATACCTGGGAAGCAACTGTTTTTTGTTGTCTATTCATTTTACAGGGTTTTGCACCTGCTGGGCCTCTTACTGAGTCCCACGGCCCAGCTCTAATGACTGGGTCAGGATCCTATCTGAGGTCAGCCATGCAGAGGCCCTCTCTCAGGTTGCACTGTCCTTTGAGATCATCCACTCAGGGTGTCTGTCCCTCTTATGTGTCCTCTGTGTCCTCTATGAACCCAGCATGAAGCCACTCTCAGTGCTGCTGGGTGTGAACACGCTGTAAGCTCGCTGGTAGGAACAGACTACTGCTAGCGTTTGCTTCTGTCTGCACATATGGCTGCCTTTCCCTCATGCAATCCATGCTCTCCTCAAGACAACTCCCTGGCTGACAAAGACAAAATAAATGCTTTCTTTGTTCTCTCAGTACAAGCTGGGAGCTGGGCGTCTTCTTGACAAGCAGTGCTCAGCATTTCTACAAAGCTATATTAATGTCTCGAAAAGTGAGGGTTTTTTTTTTAAGAATGGTTTTATTAATTCTTTGAGAGTTCTATCCAGTGCATTTTGATCATATTTGCCTCCTACTATATTCCTAACCTCTCCCAGATCCATCCATGCCTCCTCAAATCCCCAAACTTCATGTTCTCCCTCCTCTTTAAATGTGCCCCTGTGATCCTGGTGCAGGGCTGTCCACTGGAACACGGGCCACCTATCAGGAGCTACACACTTAAAAGACATTAATTCTCCCTCTCCTAGAAACCATCACCTACCCATAGCTTCTCAGGAGTGGGTGCTTTTTAAATGTTATGCTGATTTGTTGACTGGCTGGTTCGGTGAAGACAACCACAGCTGCTGGGAGTTCATGAGTCCAGGGGTTCGGATTGCCTGGAAGATGTTGTCTACTGCTGACCCTCCCCCAACCTCTGCCCTTGTAATCTTCTGACCCTTCTTAGATGGTCCCTGAGTCCTGAGTTTCTTCATTGACTGCTGTCCACTGCACCAAGAAACTTTGAGAAGTGATTTTTAAACCACTGAAGTTTCTTTTTTCCCCCCTGATTAATGCTCTTACCCAAATGACTTTGACAACATTCCCCCGTTAGAAGTCTCCTAGGGGGTGCACTCACAGGGCTGTCACTTTGCTTAGACCGGGTGTCCCAGAGTGTGGGTTTGTTTGCTTATTGCCACTGATGTTCTTAATTACCAGAGGTGAAATAGGTTACACACAACGTGGAACTTCTTTGCTGTCCATCCCGGGAGGAGAAACTTTGATCAGTAACAAATTAAATACACATTTTGTACCTATCCCTTCTCAAAGGCAGGTTTTTTTGTTGTTGTTGTTGTTTTTTGTTTTTGCTTTTTAGTAAAACCTGAGTTAATAAATTACTAAGTTAGATGGACTTTTGCCTACACACTCATTTCTAAGTGTCCCATATTTTAGAGAACTGGTTACACCACCCGAAATCTTATCATGGTCTTTCATATTTGTTTTTAGTTAGATCGAACAGAAACTCTTATTCTGGCTGGGATGGTTCTGGGAGAGAAGTTCTGAATTCAGCCCATTCAGAGCTGAATAAAAATAATCTGAGCATGCAAGCTTCTTGTAAAGCTGACAGTGAAACATTTGTGGGCATTCACAGTGGAAGGGGACTTCTGACCGGTTCCCTCAGCATCAGGAGAAGTGGGTGAGGGAACCATGGAAGTGCCCCTCAGACCAGTCAGTGGCTGTTTATTGCTCTCCTTTGTAAACACAGTGTCCCCCACCCCTCCTATGCTGACAATAAAACCTCTGCCACAGAATCAAGATCAGGGTTTATCCGACCCCTGCTCTTTCAGCCAGGTCAGAGGAAGGCACCTGTCCTCAGAGGATTATTTCCCAGCAAATCCAGCTTAGGTTGGTTGCCAGTGGCAGGTGGATTTTTCCTTTCTGTGCAAGCCACAAGATTTTATGATGTCGCCCTCACACTTGGCCTACTTTTCCTAGAGACTATTTTCGATTTGGAAGTTTACAGATCTCATGGCTGAGAAAAGTTATTGTTAATATTGTTACAGAAAAGAATAATTTAGAAAACTCAAAACCTAAAGCTACACTTAGGATTCATCCCTTCCCCTCATAGGTCAATGACAACGCTGCTGCCTTGCATACTTTCTCTTAGACTTTTTTATCATCACATTGTGTTATCTAAGTTTTTTTTAATTTTTTATTTAAATTAGAAACATGTCAATCCCAGCTCCCTCTCCCACCCCTACTCCCTTGTCCCTCCACAAGGCTCCCCCAGCCCCCCACCCAATCCCCACATCATTCCCCAGGGAGGGTGAGGCCCTCCTTGGGAGAATATCCAAAGTCTGTCATTTCATCCAGGGCAGGACCTAGGCCCTTCCCCATGTGTCCAGGCTGAGAGAGCATCCCTCTATTTGGAATGGGCTCCCAAAGATCATTCATAAACCATGGTAAATACTGATCTACCACCCAAGGCCCCAGTGATTTCTGTGGCCTCCTCACTAAGACTACATTCATGGAGTCTGGATCAGTCCCCTGTTGGCCTCTCAGGCATCAGTCTGGGATTCAAGAGCTCCCCCTTATCTGGTCAGCTGTCTTTGTGGGTTTCACCATCATGGTCTTCACCCCTTTGCTCATCACTCCTCCATCTCTGTCACTGGGTTCCAGGAGTTCAGTTCAGTGTTTAGCTGTGGGTATCTGTCTCTGCTTCCATCAGTCACTGGATGAAGGTTCTAAGATGGCATATAAGGTAGTTATCAACCTTATCATCAAGGAGGGGCTATTAATGTAGTCTCTCCACTATTGCTTAGTTTGCCAGTTGGTGTTATCCTTGGAGATCTCTCTCTCAGACTTTTTTTTATCATCACATTGTGTTGTCTAAGTTTTTTCATTGTCTTTCAAGCCAACAAAAGACAGGGTTACATATATTTGGTACCAAGAACAATCCTCAATACAGAGCATAATTTTAACAATCAGGGTTTAGTAATGCATGCCACTTTATTTCCCGACTTTATAACATTCATGACCAAATTTTCTTCTTTTCCTATTTTTTTAAACACATTTGTTTTTGCTTCTGAAAGGAAATCTTAAGGCTGGAGAGATGACTCAGTGGTCAAGAGCACTGGTTGCTCTTGCAGGGGACCCTGATTTGATTTCCAGAATCCACATGATAATTTACAGTTCTGGGGGATCTGATGCCCTCCTCTGGCCGCTATGGACACTGCATGTACATGGTGCACAGACACACATGGAGGCAAACACTCATACACATAAAACAAAACTGAATACATCTTTAAAAATAAATAAAGAGCAGTCATATACTATTAGTGGCTTCTGATATTAAAACCAAAGCACCCATTCTAGTTGCAGGGGTACACACCTGTATTCACAGCATTCAAGAGGCAGAGGCTGGAGAGACCAGTCTGGGATACATAGTATTTTTAATTAAAATAAAACAATAAAAAAGTCTCTGCTTGTATTTTGGAGTCCCATGTATAGAAACCACTAGTGTCTGTTATCTGAAGTGACAAAATTCAGAACTAAAAACCTATTTTAAGAGTTTGACTTAGCAAGAACTATGGGTAATAGACACATGCGTTTAAGAAAGGGGGAGAGTACTGTTTTCTTTCTGGTGAACAGCAGTTTAAGCATTCAGCTGGATGAGCCGAATTGTGCTGCCCTTGCTTGCTAACACTGTTGAAATATTGCCTGAGTTTTTTCGTGTCTGTCCAGGTAGGTAACAGTTGCTTGGTTCTTTGTAGGTGGACACCACTCTCTCCCAGTTTACTGATCCGAACATCTACCTGTGGGACGTGCATCACAGTAAGAGGCTTATTAAAGTGGACGGGGTGGTAGGCAAGAAGAGAAAACCCTACTGTGTTGATTTCTCCGCCATCCGGCCTCAGATAGCCTTACTTAGAGAAGTTCATGTCACCCACTATCGCTTCTCCCTGGACTGGGCCCTGATCTTGCCTCTGGGTAATCAGACCCAAGTGAACCGCACGGTTCTGCATTTCTACCGCTGCGTGATCGGTGAGCTGGTGCGTGCCAACATCACTCCGGTGGTGGCCCTGTGGCAACCAGCAGCCCCACACGAAGGCCTGCCACATGCCCTGGCCAAACATGGGGCCTGGGAGAACCCGTACACCGCCCTGGCGTTTGCAGACTATGCGGACTTGTGCTTTAAGGAGCTGGGCCACCGGGTCAAATTCTGGATCACCATAAACGAGCCCAACACACGGAACATGACCTACCGTGCTGGGCATCACCTCCTGAAAGCGCACGCCTTGGCTTGGCGTCTGTATGATGAGAAGTTTAGGGCAGCTCAGAAAGGTAAAATATCCATTGCCCTACAGGCCGACTGGATAGAACCGGCCTGCTCTTTCTCTCAAAAGGACAAAGAAGTGGCCGAGAGAGTTTTGGAATTTGATATTGGCTGGCTAGCAGAGCCCATTTTCGGTTCCGGAGATTATCCACGTGTGATGAGAGACTGGCTGAACCAAAAAAACCATTTCCTTTTGCCCTATTTCACTGAAGACGAAGAGAAGCTAATCCGGGGCTCCTTTGACTTCCTGGCGTTGAGTCATTATACCACCGTTCTTGTAGACTGGGAAAAGGAGGACCCGATAAAATACAACGACTACCTGGATGTGCAGGAGATGACTGACATCACGTGGCTCAACTCTCCCAGTCAGGTGGCCGTGGTGCCTTGGGGGCTGCGCAAAGTACTCAACTGGGTGAAGTTCAAATACGGAGACGTCCCCACCTATGTGACAGCCAATGGCATAGATGACGATCCCCACGCCGAGCAAGACGCCCTGAGGACGTATTATTTTGAGAACTACGTGAATGAGGCCCTGAAAGGTGAGCCTTTTCTGCGTAACATAATGATCTCTCTTGATTCCATTTTCCTGCAAATGACATCTTTTCGCTGAACAAAATTCCACCATGTACAGGTGCCACAATTCCTGTATCCTTTCATCTGCTGATAGATGCCCCCACAACCATTTTACCGGCTTGATGTGCTAAAAATAAAGCAAGTGTAGTTTTGATTGTGCAAAATCAGCTGTGTGGTGTAGTTCCATGTTGTCTTGGTATTTGCCTGTTTGTTCTTGTGTAAAACCTTACCCAGTGAACTCTGGTGAGCCTGAAGCCTTATTGGATGGTATCGAGGCTTTTCTTTATCCACCAAGGCTGTGTAAAAAGGTTGAATTGTGTGTTAAATATTCCAGTAACCCTCTCCTGCCCTTTGTTTCCCCAGCCTACGTGTTGGACGGAATCAACCTCCGTGGCTACTTTGCTTATTCGCTGAATGATCGTTCAGCTCCAAAGTTTGGCTTTTATCGATACGCTGTGAATCAGTTTGAGCCCAAACCATCTATGAGACATTATAGGAAAATTGTCGACAACAATGGCTTTCTGGGGTCTGAAACACAGGGAAGGCTTTGTCCAGAGGAGTACACCGTGTGCACCGAGTGCAGCATTTTTCACACCCGGAAGTCTTTATTAGTCTTCATCGCGTTTCTGGTTTTTGCTTTTATCATTTCTCTCTCTCTTATTTTTTACTACTCCAAAAAAGGCAGGAGAAGTTATAAGTAGTGCAAATGTCTTCCTGGCTGTTTGCTTTGGGATCATTACGCACATGCATCAGCTGTTAGCCATTTGTACTTCTTGTGTTGTGAAGACATCTTGCATATATTTGGATTCTAGAAAACTTTTTTTGTCACAGATGGCAGAAGCTTTGTAACAGATACTGGTGACTGTAAAATAATGGTAAGATGAATAGTACCTGAATTTGCCCTCGTTGGGGAAGAGTACCTGAATTTGCCCTCGTTGGGGAAGAGTACCTGAATTTGCCCTCGTTGGGGAAGAGTACCTGAATTTGCCCTCGTTGGGGAAGAGTACCTGAATTTGCCCTCGTTGGGGTGACTATGCAACTGTGCTCTCCACAGTTTCTACAGTCCCGCTAAGGAAGACAGGAAGCATGGTGCCAACTGGACAGAAGCTTGAAGATCAACATTAGGAACACAGATGAGAATCTGCCTGTGCCCATTTTTAAGTTTCACGCTTTTGGAAGTAACAATCTCAATTGCCATGGTACCTAAGAGCTGTCCTGATCCATTTTCATGAGGCAGCGATGAGAGAATGTATGGTAGAGATGGTCAGGAGTCCCTTGGCTGTAACAGCCCTTTTAAGAGCAGTGTTTTTATCAATGCAGCTAAGATTAATTTATGAATATCCTCAGAGAGCACATTATGGAGACTTACATTGCTGTGTGTGTTTTTGAGGTGCCCTCTAAACGCCAGATCCTTGAGGTCTCTCTCTTACTGTCTGTCCTTTGACAGCCTGCCTGTTGGAGAATTTTTTTTGATAAATGTTCACAAAAAATAAAGATGAGTCATGAGCTGCTGGCCTGTTTGGGAAACTGACTGTGGAATTTATTGCACCGAGGTGGTTCTAGGAAGAAAAAAGGAGGGAATTTTTTTCATCTTCTTTTTTTAATGAGCAACATGAGTGATTTGATTGAACATCCTTTTATCTTTGAGCAGACCTTGGAATGAATGAAATGACCTTTCACACATGAAGAAAGATGAACTCTCACTCAACCTGTGAAGAATGTCTCTGTTGCATTCTTCAGAATACTCCGTCACTGCTTCGACACAATAGTTTTCAAACTTCATAGGAGATCCAAGCACAGTCCAGTATGAACACACTGGAAATCTGTCTTTGTGGTCACCGGGAGCTGCTCTGTGCTTCTGTGCCTGTGAATGAGCTTTGAACTAGCCCCACTCAGAGCTTTGACACTAACCATGCTATTGATTTCTATCGAAAGGGCTAATTGGGTCTTCTCCTTCAACACCCTCTACCCTAAGTCTTACTGAGTCCCACATAGGGAAGTTTTCTTGCTACACCTGAGTGGTCTTAGAGATAAGCCTATACCAGACAGGCAAGATAAGCCAGGGTCACAATACCTAACTCATTACTGTGTCATACTTCATCTTGTGATGCGGTATGGTTTTCCTCATGAACAATCGGCTTTTGCTGTGGTGTTCTTTATACAACTGGACTTGTTACTGAAATCAAATGTTATAGAATCAATAGTTTATTTTATGTGTCTATTTTTGATTACAGAGTAATATATATTAATTGTAAAAATTTAAAAGACAAAAACTATATATAAAGAAAAAAGATCACCTCTAATACAATACAGAGACACCACTGACAGTTCCTATGTGCTGTGTTTTATGTAGTCATATCATGTTATACATAGGTATACATCTTCTTTATTCATTTGTATTAAATACTTTTTCTGTCATTAGTTTCCTAGAGCAAATTTTTAATGGTTATGGAAAATATTGTTAGACTAGCTCAAAAAAGTTTCATTTGTTAGGCCAATTTTCCATTAATCAGTTCAATAATAAATATCATTTAAAAACAGTATCTTGCATTGTTAACTCTATTCCTTGAATGTAAAGAACAGTAATTCTGTTTCTTGATGAAGCATTATAGCCAACTTTTGTGCATTTTTTTTATATTTTATTTTCCAGTTTAAATTTAGATAAGAAACGAGGTTGCTTCAAAAGTCAGTTCCAGGTCCCTCTCCCATTCCCTCCCCTCCTCCCGTCCCTCCCCCCAAACCCCCCCTCCGTTAACCCCTCATTCCCCCAGGGAGGGTGAGGCCCTCCATGGGGGTGTCCATAGTCTGTCATTTCATATAGGGCAGGGCCTAGACCCTTCCCCAAGAGTTCAGGGTGAGAGTGCACCTCACATTGTTCTATGGGAGTCCAAAGTCCGTGTGTATACTTGGGATGGGTACTGATCTGCTGCCCAAGGCTCAATAGATTCCCTAGGCCTCCTCACTGACACCCAGATTCAGGAGGTCTTGATCAGTCCCATGCTGGATTCCCAGGCTGATGCCTGGGATTCAAGAGTTAACCTTTGTCTGCTCAGCTGTTTCTGGGGGGTTAAACCAGCCCAGTCTTAATCCCTTTGATCATCAATCCTCCCTCTCTGTTACTGGCTTTCTTGAGTTCAGTTCAGTACTTAACCAAGGGAGTCTGCCTGTTCTTCGATCAGCCACTAAATGAAGTTTCTGTTTCCCAGACTCTCTGGCCATAGGATTGTAGGCTGGCACTCCCCAGATCTATGTCTAAAATCCATATATGAGAGAGTACATGCCATGTTTCTCTTTTTGTGACTGGGTTACCTCACTCAGGATGGTTTCTTCTAGTGTCTTCCATTTGCCTTCGAATCTCATGATTCCGTTATTTTTTTCTGCTGAATAGTACTCCATTGTGTAGATGTACCACATTTTCTCTATCCACTCTTCGGGTGAGGGACATCTAGGTTGCTTCCAAGTTCTGGCTATTACAAATAAAGCTGCTATGAACATAGTGGAACAGACATCTTTGTTGTATGAATGGGCATCTTTTGGATATATGCCTAAGAGTGGAGTTGCTGGGTCTTGTGGTAGGTTTATTCCCATTTTTCTGAGGAATCTCCATACTGATTTCCAAAGTGGCTGAACCAGTTGGCACTCCCACCAGCAATGGAGGAGTGTCCCCCTTTCACCACATCCTCTCCAGCATAAATTGTCATTGGTGTTTTTGATTTTAGCCATTCTGACAGGAGTGAGATGGTATCTCAGAGTTGTTTTGATTTGCATTTCCTGGATGGCTAAGGATGTTGAGCACTTTCTCAAGTGCCTCTCAGCCATTTTAGACTCCTCTATTGAAAACTCTCTATTTAGTTCTGCAGCCCACTTTTTCATAGGGTCCACTTTTGTGCATTTTTATCTTCTGTCATAATCATGTGCTTGTAGATTGCTAGTGGGTTTCATGCTTATTATCTGGTACTTAAAAGGCTGAGACAGGGGCCTGACTGGGAGGTCAAGGCCAGCCTGAGCTACAGAGTGAGACTGTTTTAAACATGCAATAAAGTAATAAAGTAAGAAGTATTAACAAGTTAGCTAAGGCACACAGAGGTGACCAGAGCACTACGGATCTTCAGACAGCCACAGGCGGAGAGACCTGAGAGAACAACACAGACAAAAAGTCAAAGACGACAGAAAGAGAATGGCAAAGTGCTTAGGAAGAGGAGGAAGTTCACCTCAGAACCCTTCAGCCGAATGAGGGCATCGTGGGAGCTTTGTGTCCAGTAGAACGTAAGAGAATGCCAGCCACTGGCCAGATGGAGGAGGCAGGGAGTCTCTCCGTCAGACCTGGGGACTGAGTAGGGAGGGGAGCAGGCAGAGATGGGCTATGGAGCAGGATATTCTGGCCAGTGGGGTTGTCTTAATTTTCTGCTATGATGAATGAATCCTTCAAACTAGACAACTCATAAAGAACAGAAGCTTATTCATCTCAAAGGTCTTGCCTCCTTATAAAGCCACCGCCTTCATCATAGGGATCCCATTTTCCAGACTCCATCTAATTCAAATGACCTCTGAAGACCAAATACTGTTAATGTGACTTGGGGAATTAAGAGTCCAATAGGTGAATACCTAGGGATACAAAGTAGGAGTGACAAGCCAACCCACCCTCCTTCCCACCTTCCCTCTACAGCCTATAAAATAATTCACATTTAATTCCCAGCTAGGCTAAGGTACTGGTGAAAAGTATCTCCCAAAGGTCTGTATGTGGATTGCTGCTTTTCCGTTGGCAGTGATCAAATACCTGATCAGAAACAACTGAGGGGAAGGAGTGTTTATTTTGGCTTAAATTTCAGAGACAGTCCATCACAGCAGGTGGGATGACAGCAGGGTTGTGAGTCAGGTTGCAGGTGCCCTGGGGGGTGGTGTGTGTGTGTGTGTGTGTGTGTGTGTGTGTGTGTGTGTGTGTGTGTATGTGTACATGCCTGCCTTCGGAGGAGGACAAGAGTAGGGCCAGACTGTCCAGACTCAAGGCTTGCCCCAGTAATCCATTTCAAACACCTAATGCTTTCAGAACTTCTCAAAACACCGTCATAAATCAGACACCAAGTGTTCAAACACATGGGCCTATGGGGAGCTTTACATTCAAACCATTGCATTCTCCCATGGCTCCCATAAGCTCATGGCCATCTTGTGGAACAAAATGCATCCATTCAAAAGTCTCCTATTGTGCTTTTTTATTCTTTTGAGATTTTATTTATTTTTATTTTATGCTTATGGGCATTTTGCCTGTGTAAGTATGTATGCAGTACCTGTGGAGGCCAGAGGCAGGTGTCAAATTCTCTGGAACTGAAGTTATAGATGGTTGTCAATTACTATGTGGGTGCTGGGAACTGAATCCAGGTCCTCTGGAAGAGTAGCCAGTGCACTTAACCACTGAGCCATCTCTCTAGCTGCCTCCCTGCCCCTGCCATTGTCTCTAATAATCCTAACACTGAGCAAAATTCTTAGGCTAAGGGTATTTTTGAGGGGTAGATTTATTTCATCACAGTGAAAGCCTATACACTCATAGTTTTTTTTTCTAGATTAATTCCACTTACTCTCAACATGTTTCAGATTTGTTGATAACTCAATATTTAGAACATAACATTGCAAAAACAAAGCCTGTTACTGTCAAAATGGTTTATTTACCCTGAAGCTTTAGCTATTTTATCTGTGATTTTTCATAGACACGTTCATAGATAGACTCCCTTAATAAAACTGAAAAGAAAATTCAATTCTTACATATACTTTATGGTACTAAATTATTTTGTTGTGTTATTTTGTTTAATTATACAAATGATTTATTGGTAGAATCCTGAAGACCATTTGGCAGAAAATGCTTCTATATTTGTGTATTGTACCATCTGCTCTTTTGAAACAATCTAATGACACAGACAAAACATTACAATTTCTGTATTTGTTATTTAGTTGGTAAATAGTTGCAGATTTAATTCCTTTTTCATGTATTTCCAAAACCTTTAGTAGTGTTTCTGAGTTTAGTACAATCTTTCAATATTGCCTCTTTTATGGTAAAAGAATTTAACAGGAAATGACCTTATTTATTTTGTATAAATAGCTTTCAATAGAAACATCCCCTTTCCCGTGAGTAAATTACTAGAATTGATGAGTTTGGCTGTACTATCTGCTCTCTAGCAGCTTTGAGCACATTCATATTGTTTTGGTCAACAACTGTAAGGGGCTCAATGCTTTCAATGGATCACACCCAAGTTACTAGATGGAGGAGTGTAGTGTTCAGGGTCATAGTGCTACGTTTATGACAGGAAGACTTTGTAGACTGTTTTCCCCTTAAATTACAGACTATCGTCAATCTCCGATACATAGTCCCAAGGCTTCAAACAGACATGTTTCAGTAGACGAGGTGGGGGTGAGGTGGGGATGGGGATGGAGGTTGGGAGTGGGGGATAAGAATGGAAGTGGGGGATAGGGGTCAAGTTGGGGTAGGGGTACGGGGATGCCTGTGGGAGTGAGGGTGGTGCAGAAATGCTAAGCCAGAAAGGAGAGTAACAGACAGAAAATTAGAGAAAAATTGGCAGTTAAGATGAACACACAGACAAGATGATAAATCAAGCAGCTTTTATTGTTATTGGTACCATGATAAAATGACTTTAATTTATCCCTGCCTGTCACTGAATTACCAGTCCACCTCCACAAGCACAGTGCAGATTAGTCATCCTGGCAGACTGGAAGTCGAGGTGCATGATTCCAGCCCGCCTGGAGACACATGATACCACCACGATTCACCCAGAGAAGGAGGAAGGGCAGGGACAAAGCAGGCAAGCGGGTGAGGGGAGAGGTCTCAGAGCCTGTGTGTGTCAGAATGCAGATGACTTTGGTGAAGGTGGTACACATGGGCTGGCAGGATGGCTGTGGGAGCAATTCTGGTAGTCAGCTCTCTCAAACTCATGGAGCTCTATAGAAGATGGACAAGAGCCAATTCAGCAGGTGTAAGAAGGTGAGGAAGCTGGTGAGGAGAGGAAGACAGAGTATAGAGGAGTCTTTAAGGGAGACAGTCAAGAGCATCTAGGAAGTCAGCATGAGATCTCTCTCTCTCTCTCTCTCTCTCTCTCTCTCTCTCTCTCTCTCTCTTTGTGTGAATTTGTGATTTTCCCCCCTAGTGTTGGACTGAATCTCAAACCTCATGCTGTTATTCCTTATCATATGCTCCACTATTTACTGTGCTAAATGCCCAACCACAAATTTTTTGTTGTTTTCTGTTTTTCTGTCTGAGACAAGGTCTCACATATCCTAGAATGGTCTTGAACCACTAGATAGCAGAGGATGGCCTTGAACTTCTGATCCTTCTGTCTCTAGCTCCCAAGAGCTGAGATGTCTGTGGGGCTGGGGACTGAGGATTCTTGCATCCCAAGTAAGGCCACATTCAACTGAGCCACAAACTCAGCCCCAGGAAAACACTCTTGGAAAGAAAGGATTCTGCCAATTCCTTTACATAGAGATAGAGGGTCTGGGGTGTGGAAGGATCAGGCTCTTAGGTAGGGGAGGCAGT